GGAATGGAGGGGTTGGATTTGATGGGAATGGGGTTGGGTACATTGGGAATGGAGGGATGGATTTGATGGGAATGGATCCACGGGAATGGAGGGGTTGGATCCATGGGAATTGGTTGGATCCACTGGGAATGGAGGGGATTTGATGGGAATGGGGTTGGATGTGATGGGAATGGGGTTGCATCCATTGGGAATGGGAATGGATTTGAAGGGAATGGGGTTGGATCTGTGGGAATGGAGGTGTTGGATTTGATGGGAATGGAGGGATAAATCCATGGGAATGAAGGAGTTGGATCCATTGGGAATGGAGAGATGGATCCAAGGGAATGGGTTTGGGTACATTGGGAATGGAGGGGGTGGATCTGTGGGAATGGAGGGATGGATCCGTGGGAATGGAGGCGTTGGATCCGTTGGGAATGGGGTTGGATCTGTTGGGAATGGAATTGGATTTGTTGGGAATTTGGTTGGATCTGTGGGAATGGAGGGATGGATCCATTGGAAATGGAGGGTTGGGTCTGTTGGGAATGGGGTTGGGTACATTGGGAATGGAGGGGGTGGATCTGTGGGAATGGAGAGGTTGGATTTGTTGGGAATGGGTGGGCTGGATTTGTGGCAATGAGGGGACGGATGCATGGGAATGGAGGGGTTGGATCCATGGGAATAGAGGGGGAGATGAGGGGGATCCGGGATTGGGGAATTCCAGACCTCCCAGTGCCTCTGGAGTTCCCAGGGAAGCCGGGGCTGCCCCCGGATCCCTGGGAGTGTCCAAGGATGGATTTGGAGCTCCCTGGGATCAAGGGAGGGCTCAGGGTTGGACTGGGATGGGACTGAAATCCATTAATCCCATCCAGAACATTCCATGATTGTGGTTGCCATCCCCATTCCCATCCCATTCTCACGGATCCCATTCTCATTAATCCCATTCCCATGGATCCCACAGCTCCGATTCCCATGAATCCCATTCCCACTCCAATGGATCCCATTCCTACAGCTCCCATTCCCACGGATCCCATTCCCATGGATCCAATCCCATTACCATTCCCACAATTCCATTCCCATTCTCATGGCTCCCATTCCCATTCCCAGAAATCCCATGGCTCCCATTCCTATGGATCCCATTCCCACAAATCCCATTCCCATGGATCCCATCCCCATGGATCCCATCCCATTGCCATTCCCATGGATCCCATGGCTCCCATTCCCACTGATCCCATGGCTCCCATTCCCAGTGATCCCATTCGCACGGATCCCATGGCTCCCATTCCCATAGATCCCATTCCCACAGCTCCCATTCCCACAGATCCCATGGATCCCATCCCAATCCCAAGGATCCCATTCCCACCCCCATTCCAATTGTCAGGGATCCAATTCCCATGGCTCCCATTCCCGTGGATCCCATTCCCACGGATCCCATTCCCATTCCCATGGCTCCCATTCCCAGTGATCCCATCCCATTCCCATTCCCAGTGATCCCATTGCCATTCCAGGGTACCGGGCGCTGACGAAGGCTCCGGACGGGAGCCTCTGCCTGGCCATGGAATTCGGGGGGGAGAAATCCCTGAACGACCTCATCGAGGAGCGCCGGGAGCAGGGCCTGGGAATGTTCCCGGCAAACACCATCCTGCACGTGGCCCTCAGCATGGCCAGGGGCCTCCAGGTACCGGGAAAATCCCAGGGAAATCCCGGAATTCTGGGGAAACCCTGGGAGTTCTGGGAAAGTCATGGGATTCCGAGAAGATTCTGAGATTCCAAGGAAATCCTGAAAATCTGGGATAAAGGGGAGCCAGAGGGGCTGTCTAGATGCTGGGATAGGGATGGGGATGGGTGGGATCTTGGGAGGGATTTCCCGGCTGGGCTGGAATTCCCAGAGAATCCTGGGGAAAGTCCAAGGAAAGGTTGGAGTGGCCTGGGATTGGGGTTGGAATGGGGTGGGATTGAAGGTCCATCGATCCCATCCCAAACCATTCTGGGATTCTGGGATCAAGGGCACTCAGGATCCATCCCGAGGGATTTTTATGGAATTCGGGGATGGAAAAGGGAAGGGAGACCCTTCCTGGAGTCCTGAATTCCCAGTGAAGGCCCTGGATCCCAAAATTCCTTCTCAGGGAGGAATTGGCATGGGGATGGATCCAATGTCAGGCTGGGAGAGCTGGGAATGGAGGGAATTCCTAGGAAAGGGGAGCTTGGGGTGGGATTTGGGAAGGGATTCCTGGCTGGGCTGGAATTCCCAGAGAATCCCTGGGAGAGTCCAAGGGAAAGGTTGGAGCGGTCTGGGATTGAGGTTGGAATGGGATGGGATGGGATTGAAGGTCCATGGATCCCATCCCAAACCATTCTGGGATCAAGGAATTTTTGTGGAATTCGGGGATGGAAAAGGGAAGGGAGACCCTTCCTGGAGTCCTGAATTCCCAGGGAAGCCCCTGGATCCCGGAATTCCTCCTCAAGGAGTTGGGATGGGGCTGGATCCAACCCAGGAGAGCTGGAGGGGGATTTGGGAAAAGGGCCTGGAATGGCAGCACAGGGAATGGCTCCCACCATGGCCAGAGGGTCGGGATTTTGGGATCTTGGAAAGTAATTCCCATTTGGGCTGGAGTTCCCAGAGAATCCCTGGCAGTGCCCAAGGAGCGGCCGCAGGATTGGGCTGATCCATGAGATCCCCCAACCCACGGATTCCGAGCCACCCCCGAGGTTTTGAGGCTGGATCCGGGATTTGTCCTTGGTCTGAATTCCCGGCATTCCCGGGGTTTCCCGCAGTACCTGCACACGGAGCAGCGGCTGCTCCACGGCGACATCAAATCCCCCAACGTCGTCGTCCGCGGCGCCTTCGAGACCGTCAAGATCTGCGACGTCGGCGTCTCCCTGCCCCTGGATGAGAACCTGACAGGTGGGAACCCGGGAATGCCCGGGAATGGGGGATCCCCGTAAATTGGTATGGAGTGTGGGACTCCCATCCCACGGATCCCATTCCCAGCATCCCTTTGATCCCTGGATCCTGTGGCAGTGAGTGATCCCCTTCCCAATCCATTCCCATTCCCAATCCTGTCCCTGATATCCCGTTATCCCGCTGCAGTGAGCGATCCCATTCCCAATCCTAAAATCCCTTTGATCCCAATATCCCGCTATCCCTCTGCTGCTGCTGCAGTGAGCAATCCCATTCCCAATATCCCGATATCCCTTTGATCCCATCATTCCCAATTTGTTCCCTCCGCTCCTTCAGCAGCGAGCAATCCCGATCACATTCCCAATCCCATTCCTGAAATCCCTTTGATCTCATTCCCATTCCCAATCCCAATATCCCAGTCCTGATATCCAGTTGATCCCGATTGGTCCCTGTTATCCCTGTGCAGTGAGAAACCCGTCCCTGTACTGCGTGGCCAATCCCAAAATTCCATTGATCCCATTATTCCAAATACGTTCCTGTTATCCCATGGCAGTGAGCGACCCCTCTCTCTCCTATGTGGGCACAGAGCCCCATATCCCTTTGATCCCGTTATTCCCGATTTATTCCCGTTTTTCCCTGTGCAGTGAGCGACCCCTCCCTGTGCTACGTGGGCACGGAGCCCCATTGATCCCATTGATCCCATTGATCCCATTGATCCCGTTATTCCCGATTTATTCCCGTTTTTCCCTGTGCAGTGAGCGACCCATCCCTGTGCTACGTGGGCACGGAGCCCCATTGATCCCATTGATCCCGTTATTCCCGATTTATTCCCGTTTTTCCCTGTGCAGTGAGCGACGCCTCCCTGTGCTACGTGGGCACAGAGCCCCATATCCCTTTGATCCCGTTATTCCCGATTTATTCCCGTTTTTCCCTCGGCAGTGAGCGACCCGTCCCTGTGCTACGTGGGCACGGAGCCCCATATCCCATTGATCCAATTGATCCCGTTGATCCTGTTGATCCCATTGATCCCAATATCCCGTTTTTCCCTATGCAGAGAGCGACCCCTCTCCGTGCTACGTGAGCACAGAGCCCCATATCCCATTGACCCCATTGATCCCATAATTCCCGATTTATTCCCGTTTTTCCCTGTGCAGTGAGCGACCCATCCCTGTGCTACGTGGGCACAGAGCCCCATATCCCATTGATCCCATTGATCCCATAATTCCCGATTTATTCCCGTTTTTCCCTGTGCAGTGAGCGACCCCTCGCTGTGCTACGTGGGCACGGAGCCCCATTGATCCCATTGATCCCATTGATCCCGTTATTCCCGATTTATTCCCGTTTTTCCCTCGGCAGTGAGCGACCCCTCGCTGTGCTACGTGAGCACAGAGCCCCATTGATCCCATTGATCCCATTATTCCCGATTTATTCCCGTTTTTCCCTGGGCAGTGAGCGATCCCTCCCTGTGCTACGTGGGCACAGAGCCCCATATCCCATTGATCCCATTGATCCCATAATTCCCGATTTATTCCAGTTTTTCCCTGTGCAGTGAGCGACCCCTCGCTGTGCTACGTGGGCACGGAGCCCCATACCCCATTGATCCCGTTATTCCCGATTTATTCCCGTTTTTCCTTCGGCAGTGAGCGACCCTTCCCTGTGCTACGTGGGCACAGAGCCCCATTGATCCCATTGATCCCGTTATTCCCGATTTATTCCCGTTTTTCCCTGTGCAGTGAGCGACCCCTCCCTGTGCTACGTGGGAACGGAGCCCCATATCCCATTGATCCAATTGATCCCGTTATTCCCGATTTATTCCCGTTTTCCCTGTGCAGTGAGCGACCCGTCCCTGTGCTACGTGGGCACAGAGCCCCATTGATCCCATTGATCCCACTGATCCCATTATTCCCGATTTATTCCCGTTTTTCCCTGTGCAGTGAGCGACCCCTCCCTGTGCTACGTGGGCACGGAGCCCCATTGATCCCATTGATCCCATTGATCCCGTTATTCCCGATTTATTCCCGTTTTTCCCTCGGCAGTGAGCGATCCCTCCCTGTGCTACGTGGGCACGGAGCCCCATATCCCATTGATCCCATTATTCCCGATTTATTCCCGTTTTTCCCTGTGCAGTGAGCGATCCCTCGCTGTGCTACGTGGGCACGGAGCCCCATTGATCCCATTGATCCCATTGATCCCGTTATTCCCGATTTATTCCCGTTTTTCCCTCGGCAGTGAGCGACCCCTCGCTGTGCTACGTGAGCACAGAGCCCCATTGATCCCATTGATCCCATTATTCCCGATTTATTCCCGTTTTTCCCTGTGCAGTGAGCGATCCCTCCCTGTGCTACATGGGCACGGAGCCCCATTGATCCCATTGATCCTGTTATTCTCGATTTATTCCCGTTTTTCCCTGTGCAGTGAGCGATCCCTCCCTGTACTATGTGGGCACGGAGCCCCATATCCCATTGATCCCATTGATCCCGTTATTCCCGATTTATTCCCGTTTTTCCCTCGGCAGTGAGCGACCCCTCGCTGTGCTACGTGGGCACAGAGCCCCATATCCCATTGATCCCATTGATCCCATTATTCCCGATTTATTCCCGGTTTTCCCTCGGCAGTGAGCGATCCCTCCCTGTGCTACGTGGGCACAGAGCCCCATTGATCCCATTGATCCCATTGATCCCGTTATTCCCGATTTATTCCCGTTTTTCCCTCGGCAGTGAGCGATCCCTCCCTGTGCTACGTGGGCACAGAGCCCCATTGATCCCATTGATCCCATTGATCCCATTATTCCCGATTTATTCCCGTTTTTCCTTCGGCAGTGAGCGACCCCTCCCTGTGCTACGTGGGCACGGAGCCCCATATCCCATTGATCCCATTGATCCCGTTATTCCCGATTTATTCCCGTTTTTCCCTGTGCAGTGAGCGATCCCTCGCTGTGCTACGTGGGCACGGAGCCCCATTGATCCCATTGATCCCATTGATCCCATAATTCCCAATTTATTCCCGTTTTTCCCTGTGCAGTGAGCGATCCCTCGCTGTGCTACGTGGGCACGGAGCCCCATATCCCATTGATCCCATAATTCCCGATTTATTCCCGTTTTTCCCTGTGCAGTGAGCGATCCCTCGCTGTGCTACGTGGGCACGGAGCCGTGGTCGCCGCCCGAGGCGCTGGAGCCGGGCGGGGCCATCTCGGACCGCGCCGACGTCTTCGCCTTCGGCCTCACGCTCTGGGAGATGCTGGCCCTGAACGTGCCCCACCTGCCCCCGCTCCGCGACGACGGATCCGACGGTACCGGGAACACAACGGGAATGCCAGGAATAACGGGAATGCCAGGAATTACAGAGAGGGAACAGGCGCGGGGAAGGGATCCGGGGAGTGCTCGGGTGGGAAAGGGGCTTTGGGATTTGGGGAAAGGGGAATGGGATGGGATGGGATGGGATTCCCACTGGGAAAGGGGAGCTTGGGATTGTGGGATCTCGGGAAGGAATTCCTGGCTCAGCTGGAATTCCCGGAGGATCGCTGGGAGTGTCCCAGGGTGGATTTGGATCACCCCGGGATGGTGGGACTGGAGTGGGATGGAATTGAAGGTCCATGGATTCCATCCCAAACCATTCCGGGATTCTGGGATCAAGGACACTCAGGGTCCATCCCAAGGGATTTTTATGGAATTTGGGGATGGGAAAGGGAAGGGAGACCCTTCCTGTAGTCCTGAATTCCCAGGGAAGCCCCTGGATCCCAAAATTCCTTCTCAAGCAGGAATCGGGATGGAGATGCATCCAGTGGCAGGCTGGGAGAGCTGGGAATGTGCAGCTGGATCAGGGGAGGATCCAGGGAATCCTTGGAGCCGCTTCCCCATCCCAAAGGGGCTGCAGGAGAGCTGGGATTTGGGCAAGGGCTGGAGGGGCAGGAGGCAGGGAATGGCTTCCAGTGGGAAAGGGGAGCTTGGGATGGTGGGATCTTGGGAAGGAATTCCTGGCTGGGCTGGAATTCCCAGAGAATCCCTGGGAGCATCCAAGGGTGGATTTGGATCACCCTGGGATGGTGGGAAGGGTCCCTGGGATGGGATTGAAGGTCCAGGGATTCCATCCCAAACCATTCCGGGATTCCGGGCTCAAGGACACTCAGGATCCATCCCGAGGGATTTTTATGGAATTTGGGGATGGGAAAGGGAAGGGAGACCCTTCCTGGAGTCCTGAATTCCCAGGGAATTTCCTGGATCCTGAAATTCCGTCTCAAGGAGGAGTTGGGATGGGGCTGGATCCAACCCAGGAGAGCTGGAGAGGGATTTGGGAAAAGGGCCTGGAATGGCAGGAAAGGGAATGGCTCCCACCATGGCCAGCAGGTCGGGATTTGGGGATCTTGGGATTTTGGGATCTTGGGAAGGAATTCCTGTCTGGGCTGGAATTCCAGAGAATCCTGTGGGAGTGTCCAAGGAAAGCTTAGGACCCTGGGAACATCAGGAAGCGCCAGGCTGGGATCAGCGCAGGATTCCTGGGATCTGCTCCCTGCCGCCATTGCAGAGGGTTGGGATTTTGGGATCTTGGGGTTTTGGGATTTTGGGAAGGAATTCCTGTCTGCGAGGGTGAGGAGGGGCTGGGCTGGAATTCCCAGAGGATCCCTGGCAGTGTCCAAGGAAAGGCTGAGATCACCCTGGGTACATCACGAAGCGCCGTGCTGGGATTCTCCGGATCCGTTGCCAATGGCTGCTCCTTCCCCGGATTCCAGAGGGTTGGGATTTTGGGATCTTGGGGTTTTGGGATTTTGGTAAAGAATTCCTGGCTGGGAAGGTGAGGAGGTGCAGTGTCAGCATCACTCTGGGAAGTTCAGGAAACGCCGGGCTGGAATTGGGGCCGGGATTCCCGCTCCCCTGCCGCCATTCCAGAGGGTTGGGATTTTGGGGTTTTGGGATTCTTGGATTTTGGCGTTTTTGGATCTTGGTATCCCAGAAGGGAATTCCTGGCTGGGAGGGTGAGGAGGGGCTGGGCTGGAATTTCCAGAGAATTGCTGAGAGTGCCCAAGGAAAGCTTGGGATCGCTCTGGGTACATCAGGAAGCGGCGGGCTGGGATGGGGCCGGGATTATTCCCGGTACCCGCTGCTGACGGCCGCTCCCTCTCTCTCTGTCTCCCCGTCCCTCCTTCCCGTTATCCCAGAGGATTCGTGCTCGGAGGATTCCCTGGACGAGGCCGCGTACCAGGCCGCGCTGGGGTCGCGGCCGCCGCTGCCCGCGGAGGCGGCGCGGGAGCCCTCGCAGCGGCCCGTGCGGGAGCTCTTCTGCGCGTGCACCGCCCGCGAGCCCCCGCGGCGCCCCCCGGCGGCCACCATCGTCACTGCGCTGCTGCAGCTGCGGGAACAGGAACAGCAGCCGGGGGGAGAGCGGGAATGAGGGGCGGGATAACGGGGTGGGAATGATGAGGGACAGCGGGGATAGCCGGGATAACACAGCGGGAATGAGGGGTGGGGGACAGCGGGAGTGAGGGATGGGATAACAGGGCGGGAATGCCCCCGCAGGGGCCCGTGCCGGAGCTCTTCTGCGCATGCCCTGCCCACGGCGCCCCCGAGCGACCACCATCGTCACTGCGCTGCTGCAGCTGCGGGAATAACGGGAACGGGAACAGCCGGGGGGAGAGCGGGAATGAGGGGCGGGATAACGGGAATAATGCCGGGATAACGGGGTGGGAATGATGAGGGACAGCGGGGATAGCCGGGATAACACAGCGGGAATGATGAGGGATAGGATAGCACAGCGGCAATGCCCTCGCAGCGGCCCGTGCCAGAGCTCTTCTGCGCATGCGCCGCCCGCGGCGCCCCCCGGCAGCCACCGTCATCACTGCGCTGCTGGAACTGCAGGAATGCCGGGAACGGGAACAGCCGGGGGGAGAGTGGGAATGACGGGATGGGGAGGGAATGAGGGATAACAGAGCAGGAATGATCGGGGATAGCCGGGATAACAAAGCGGGAATAACGAGGGACAGTGGGAATAGCCGGGATAGCAGAGCGGGAATGCCCCCTCGCAGGGGCCCGTGCCGGAGCTCTTCTGCGCATGCGGCGCCCCCTGGCGGCCACCGTGGTCACTGCGCTGCTGCAGCTGCGGGAATGCCGGGAACGGGAGAGCGGGAATGAGGGATGGGATAACGGGAATAATGCCGGGAGAGTGGGAATGAGGGACAGGGGACAGCTCGGGAATGCTGAGGGACAGCTCAGGAATGATGGGATAACAGAGGGGGAATGACGGGATAACACAGCCCTGAGGGAATAGCCGGGATAACAGAGCGGGAATGAGGGATGGGGGAGAGCTCGGGAATGCCGGGATAACACTGCGGGAATGATGGGATAACAGCCCTGAGGGGAGAGTGGGAATGCTGGGAGAGCGGGAATGATGAGGGATAACGGAGCAGGAATGAGGGATGGGATAACGGAACAGGAATAGTTGGGATAATAACAGAGCGGGAATAGCCGGGATAACAGTGGGAATGACGGGATAACAGAGCGGGAACAGCCAGGAGAGCGGGAATGATGAGGGACAGAGCGGGAATGACGGGATAACGGAGCGGGAATGACGGGATAACAGTGGGAATGACGGGATAACAGAGCGGGAACAGCCAGGAGAACGGGAATGATGAGGGACAGAGCGGGAATGACGGGATAACGGAGCGGGAATGGCCGGGAGAGCGGGAATGATGAGGGATAACACAGCGGGAACGACGGGATAACAGAGCCCTGAGGGGAGAGCGGGAATGCCGGGATAACTGACGATGGAGCGGGAATTCTGGGATAACACAGAATTCTGGGATAAGGGAGCAGGAACTCTGGGATTGCGGAGTGGAAATTGTGGGATAACAGAGCCCTGAGAGACCTGGATAACAGAGCGGGAATTCTGGGATAACGGAGCGGGAATTCCAGGACAATGGAGCCCTGAAAGACTGGGATGGCTGAGTGGGTGACAGGGATGGAATTCTGCGATAACGGAGCGGGAATTCCTGGATAACAGAGCCCTGAGAGACCGGGATAACAGAGCTGGAATTCTGCGATAACGGAGCGGGAATTCCTGGGATTACAGAGCCCAGAATTCCAGAGCCTTGAGAGCCTGGGATAATGGAGAAGGAATTCCACAGCCCTGAGAGACTGGGATTACGGAGCTGGAATTGCTGGGATTATGGAGCTGGAATTCCCAGGATAATGCAGCTGGAATTGCTGGGATTATGGAGCTGGAATTCCTGGGATAATGGAGCTGGAATTCCTGGGATAATGCAGCTGGAATTGCTGGGATAACAGAGCTGGAATTCCTGGGATTGTGGAGCTAGAATTCCCAGGATAATGGAGCTGGAATTGCTGGGATAACGGAGCTGGAATTGCTGGGATTATGGAGCTAGAATTCCCAGGATAATGGAGCTGGAATTCCTGGGATAATGCAGCTGGAATTGCTGGGATAACGGAGCTGGAATTGCTGGGATTATGGAGCTAGAATTCCCAGGATAATGGAGCTGGAATTGCTGGGATTATGGAGTTGGAATTGGTGGGATTATGGAGCTGGAATTCCCAGGATAATGGAGCTGGAATTGCTGGGATTATAGAGTTAGAATTGCTGGGTTTATGGAGCTGGAATTCCCAGGATAATGGAGCAGGAATTCCCAGAATTCCAGAACCTGACACTCCTCCCACTTTCCCAGAGCTTGATATTCCCAGATTTCCAGGATGTGGCTCTGGAGCCTGACATTCCTGGAATTCCAGAGCCCTGACATTCCCAGATTTCCAGCAGGATGTGATTCCTGACGTTCCTGGAATTCCAGGGCCTGAAACTCCTGGAATTCCAGAGCCCTGACATTCCCGGATTTCCTTTCTTGTCGGAGTTTCCCTCTTTTTTGGGTCAGATTTTCCCTCCTTTTCCAGTTGAGATTTTCCCACTCTGGGTTTGGATTTTCCCTCTTTTTTGGGTCAGATTTTCCCAAGTTTTCAGGTTGGATTCCCTCAGGTTCGGAGTTGGATTTTCCCTCTTTTTTTTGGGCTGGAATTCCCCAAGTTTTCCCATTGGATTTCCCCCCCTATTTCAATTGGATTTTTCCCCGTTTTTAGGTTGAATTTCCCACTCTTTGGGGTTTGGATTTTCCCTCTTTTTTGGGTCAGATTTTCCCAAGTTTTCAGGTTGGATTCTCCCAGGTTTGGGGTCGGATTTTTCCCCTTTTTGGAGTTTGGATTTTCCCAAGCTTTGGGATAAATTCTCCCTTTGAAGTTGGATTTTCCCAGAATTTGGGGTTGGATTTCCCAAGTTTCAGGTTTGGATTTTCCCAAGTTTTTAGGGTTGGATTTTCCCACCTTTTTGGGCCGGAATTTCCCCCTTTTAGGTCAGATTTTCACTCCTGTTTTAGTTGGATTTTCCCTCTTTTTTAGGCTGGATTTCCTTAATTTTCCCCACTCTTTGGGGTTTGGATTTTCCCAAGCTTTTTGCTGGATTTTCCCCTGTTTTAGGTCAGTTTTTCCCACTTTTTTCAGTTGGATTTTCCCTCTTTTTTTGGGCTGGAATTCCCAAGTTTAGGTTGGATTTTCCCTCATTTTTGGTTGGATTTCCCAATTTCCCCTTTTCTTTGCGGTTTGGATTTTCCATCTTTCAGGTTGGAATTTCCCTCATTTTTAAAATTGGGTTTTGCCTCTTTTTAGGTTGGGTTCTCCCTTTTTTAGGTCAGATTTTCCCTCTTTTTTTGGGCTGGATTTTCCCAAGTTTTCCCACTCTTTGGGGTTTGGATTTTCCCTCTTTTTTGGGTCAGATTTTCCCAAGTTTTCAGGTTGGAATCTCCCAAATTTGGGGTTGGATTTCCCAAGTTTCAGGTTTGGATTTTCCCAAGTTTTTAGGGTTGGATTTTCCCACCTTTTTGGGCCGGAATTTCCCTCTTTTAGGTCAGATTTTCACTCCTGTTTTAGTTGGATTTTCCCTCTTCTTTAGGCTGGGATTCCCCCATTTCCCATTTTTTGGAATTCGGATTTTCCCAAACTTTTTGCACTGGATTTTTCCCTCTTTTAGGTCGGATTTTCCCGTCTTTTTTCAGTTGGATTTTCCCTCTTTTTTTGGGCTGGAATTCCCAAGTTTAGGTTGGAATTTCCCTCATTTTTTAAATTGGGTTATCCCTCTTTTTAAGTTGGATTCTCCCTTTTTTAGGTCAGATTTTCCCTCATTTTTTGGGCTGGAATTCCCTCTTTTTGGGCTTTGGATTTTCCCAAGTTTTTTCCTGGATTTTCCCTCATTTTTGGGCTGGAATTTCCCGAGTTTTCCCCCTGGATTTTTCCCTCATTTCGAGTTGGATTTTCCCCAGTTTTCCCTCAGGAATGTTTCCAATAAATAAATTTGTTCCTCTCTCTGGAATTGCTGGATTTTTCCTTGGGATTTGGATTTTCCAGAGGGGAGGGAGCCTGGATGGGATTTGGGTGCTCTGAGGGGGGAAAAACTCCCAAAAAAAAATCCCAGAATGTTTCCATAAAAACCCCAAAAATTCCCCAAAAAACCTGGAATATTCCCATAAAACCTTGGAATATCCCCCAAAACCTGGAACGTTCCCATAAATTCATGGAATCTTGTCATAAAACCTTGGAATATTCCCACCAAAAAATGAAACAGAAAACTTTGGAGAATTTTCAGGAATTTATGGAATAACTTCAGAAAACCTTGGAATATTGTCAGAAATTTATGGAATAACTTCAGAAAAACTTGGAATATTGACAGAAAACAATGGAACAGCATCAGAAAAACTTGGAATATTGACAGAAGTTTATGGAATATCCTCAGAAAACCTTGGAATATGCCCACAACGCCCTGGAAAACCTCGGAATATTGACAGAAATTTTTGGGATGTCCTCACAAAATCTTGGAATATTGTCAGAAATTTATGGGTTATCGAGGGAAACCCTTGGGATATTGTCAGGAAGTTATGGAATATCTTCACAAAAGCTTGGAATATTCCCACAAACGCCTGGAATTCCCAGTTCCAAGGCAACAGGAAAAGCCAATTCCCATTAACGAAGCCCCGACCCCAATTAACTTAAATCCCAAAAAACACTCGGGGAAAAGGCAGGAATTTGGGGAGATCCTGGAGAATTCCAGGATTTCCAGTGGAATTCAGCAGCAGCTGGGCAGGAAGGGAGAGGGGAGAGGGGAGGGACCCCCAGGGAGATTCCCAAGGGAAAGGAAAATTCCCAAGGGAATCAGGGACCTAAAGGGAAATGAGAATTCCCAAGGGAAGGAGGGATCCCAAAGGAATCAGGGATTCCCAAGGGTAAGAATTCCCAAAGGAAAGGAGAATTCCCAAGGGAATCAGGGATTCCAAAGGAATGAGAGATCCCAAAGGGAAATGAGAATTCCCAAGGGAATCAGGGATCCCAAAAGGAAAGGGAATTCCC